ACAGTGGAAAACAAGAGTCTCCCCTCACCCATCCTTTGAGCAGACAATTCTGAGATGTAATTCTCATAGCTCCTTAAACTGTACTCTTATGATAAAAATTGTATCAGTTGATGTTTTATGTTAATTAAGATGAACGCATTTTTTCGAAGCTCAACAAATGTAGGATTTAGGGGTGTTTTTGTTATGTCCATTTTCACATTGGCAAGTAGACATACCATCATGACTTTTAGAAATATTTTATCAACTACCAAATCAAGATGCATATTTTCCAGAATATCAAAGCCAATCTAAAATATTTGGACAATTTAAAAAATAAACACAGTATGAGAAAAATTTTACCAAGAAAAATAAGTAACTTTTTTATTTATTTATTTATTTTTGGACAGGCAGAGTGGACAGTGAGAGAGAGAGAGAGACAGAGAGAAAGGTCTTCCTTTTGCCGTTGGTTCACCCTCCAATGGCCGCTGCGGCCTGCGCGCTACGGCTGGCGCATCGCTCTGCTCCGAAGCCAGGAGCCAGGTGCTTCTCCTGGTCTCCCATGGGGTGCAGGGCCATCCTCCACTGCACTCCCTGGCCACAGCAGAGAGCTGGCCTGGAAGAGGGGCAACCGGGACAGAATCCGGCGCCCCGACCAGGACTAGAACCCGGTGTGCCGGCGCCGCAAGGCGGAGGATTAGCCTAGTGAGCCGCGGCGCCGGCCGAAAAATAAGTAAATTAAGTGTTCAATTGTCTTCCTATTCTCTTTCAATGTTTTAGCATGAAAAAGTGAAAAACTGGGAAACTTGCTCATATAAATTATTTTTCCTCTTCTTAATTTATAGAAGCACGTTATGAAATTAGTCAAAAAAATACTATTGCATTATAAATATAAAATATATATAATAACCAGTAGATGACATGGCCTTTGAATTTATCTAAAGATGATTTTCAATTTAAAACTTTCCCCTAAATATTGATAGAAAATCAGACATCAACCAAACATTTTGGCAACACTAAGGAATTATTTTTAAAAGCAGTATGCAAACCCTCATTTTTCATTTTATCATCCTAATTTAGAGAAGATGGAAAATACAATACTCAGTCCCCAATGAAATATTAACTCCTCAAACTAGGCTGCTTTACAATAAAAAGTTCTGCATGTGAGTCCTGTGTACTTAGTTAATATTACAATGTGGAGTGTAATTTCAGAATTTCCTGATTCATACTAAAATTACAAGTGAATTAGTTTAATATGTTATAGGCATTTTGGAAGACTGTTCTTAAAATTTTCAAAGTATAGGATTGTTATTTATCTGGAAGGAAGAATTTACCATTTGACAATAATTCTCTGTATGCCTTTACTTGGATAAAGGTTTTGATTGGGCATAACCATGACTTTTCCTTACATATAAATTGAACAATTTTGTGAACGTTTCTCTTTTTTTTCTCTTCTGCTCACAATAGCAAAACCAAGCACTATACCCTCTCTTTTTCTCTGTTCCAGATTCACTAAAGTAACAGGTCTAATCCTAGGCATCTTGAAGAGTTACCCAATCACCACAGTTATTTTAAACAGAGTGAGCTTTTGTCTCAGCACTCAAATATGTTTAATGTTCTGCAATAATCCAGTTGTATTTAGTCTTTATTCTGTGTATTATTGCTGTTTGCATTTTATTTCTTTGTTTTTTTGTGGCCCTACACCTTCACAGGGCATTCTGGAAATGGGAATTGATGAAGTCTTGCTCAAATAATAAGTCTTATCATACTCCCAAATTTATTCTGAAGGTGTAACAGGTTATATTCAGATCCATAGATTGGCAGACATAAACTTTATCTTTGAAAATGATGAATATAATTTTATATTCACATGATCATAAGAAACATTAAATTTTCTTGTTTCTTATTTTTCACAGCAACAATTCATGACATCTGAAATTGAGAGCATATGGATGGCATTATCTGAAACTTGCTAGAAGTAAAAAAAATTCAATAAAGAAAGTGAAGAGGTAATTTTATAATTATCAAAATCTAATTTTAGGTTATATAAAATGATCAGAGCGACTAGTATTTACTGAGAACTTGCTAGTCATCTATGACAAAAGTGATTAGATCACTTCAGTCATTTTCTCTCTACTGGGTCACTTCCATCTAATTTCCCACTTTTGAAAAATTCTTTGTGTTTTTTCCCTCAAGCTAACTTATTTTTCTCTCCTTTCCATTTATAGAAAACATCTTAAAAGCAGCCAGTGTCACCATCCTCACTTTCTTTCCTCCCATTGCTATGTTTCATCATGTTTTCATCTCCTCCACTCTACTAAAAATACATTCTTCAAGGTCACTGATTCTTGCTGGCTCCAGTGGTCTAGCCTCAGTCCTCAACTTATCGCCCCTCTCTTGGAGCAGCATTTACGATAATCAATCAAACTCTATTTCCTGATATACTTTTTTCTTTTGGATTCAGAGATATCACACACTTTTGCTTTCCCTTCTGTTAACTGACCACTTTCTTTTTTCATCTCCATTCCTAGCTTTTTCTGCTCTTCTTCTAAAATTTTAAGTGCCCCACAGACCAATCCTTGCTGAAATTTCAGATTTCATTACTACTGCAGTGTGGAACTCTGGGCTCTGTGGGTCTAGAGATCCTGCTTCCCAAAGGGAGGACATTTCCAAAAGGGATATAAGAAAAATTCAGTTGAACTATAAACTCCATTGCATGAGCACCTTGCTGGGAACCAGTCTGCAAGATTTGAAGTCATTACTTTTGCAGAGAAAATTGACTCTGATCCTCAGGAGAAGGTAGGACTTTTTGGAATATGTGTGGAATATAGGTGATCTACTTGGGTGACCCTTGCTCTCCCTTCCCCAGTTCTGGTGAGTTCTGATGGTAAGTTACAAATGTGGTAGCTCTGGTCAGAGAAGGGCATAGTGAGCTGTGATTCAGATACCCCAGAGAAGGTAGCAGGGTCATGCCTCTTGGTGAGCCCTTTGAGACCAGCAGAGATAACTTGCTGAGAGTGAGGATCCAGAATACACCGTAAAGAAAGAAGAGCCCCAGTACTAGCTGTGGCCCTGTGACCAGTTGCAGCAGTGGGAATTCTAGCTTGTCCCACTGACCTTCCTTTTCCATGTTTCTCTCAGGAAAAGGAGTTCATGAAGAGCTGCTTGCACAACCAATGCAAATATTGAGTAGTACAAAGGGTGGATGATGGTAGACATTAGGATTTATATTCCCAAATACTGGAAATGCTGTTGGAAGATGGTCTTCAGCTGTCAGCATCCTATAGGGACTTCCTCAGTTAAAGAAAACTGCTTTGCTCAAGATCATGCCTGCTTCCCGGGAAAACTTGTATCTAACGACCAATCAACATAGGGTCATAAAGGTCCAATTCCAGTGCCCTAACTCAAGACATTTTTGAAGGACTAGCCCATCTGCAGAGCTACCTATATGATCAGCTGCAGCTTTGCTGGAACTGCATTGCAGCTCAGCTTCTACCTTTGCCCAAACTTTCTTCATTCTTGCTTCTACAAGTGTTGATACAGAAACCATCACTCAACAAACCTCATATAACCTAATCTCCATTTCAAGGTCTGCTTCTGAGGAAACCCATCCGAGACAATAGGATATTTTAGTGTGATTGATAGAAGAATGTCAGCAGTTGATATTCTTGGGCTGTTGACTGTCAGTCTCTCGTTTACCTTTCCCAGATTATGTTCTGTGTGGCAGTAAGTAGAGTGGCTGTTGAGGCTGTATTTCCTTAGCTCTCTTACCAACTATCTTCCATTTAGGTTTTCCAATGAGAGACAGCAGTGGGAGATCAGAGAGCAGGAACAAGACAGGTTATTTCTACACCTTTCTCTGCTTTTGGTGGTATCTTGGCATTTCTGAAAGGAAATGCAAGTCCTTTTTCCTTCTTGCATCCCCATCCATGCCACTTGGACTCCTACTGGGCAGCCTATGCTATGAACTGAAATCACTATGTAATTATAACCCAATAGAAATCTAATTCCCAAACATACTAAATTGCTTTGTGCATGTTTCACACATGTTCCTTTTGCTTAGAAAAGCCAGGCTGTTCTTGTAATCTCAGTCCGACAAACTCATAGCCATCTCTCAAAACTTAGCCTAGGTTTCACCACCTCCTTGAAGCCTCTCTAATACACTCTGCTCCCTCAATCCCAAACATATGTTTCTTTTGAATCTTAGACTTCCATCTATCAAGTAACTTGTTCTAATAATTCTTAATTACATATTCATTTGCCTGAGAATAACTGAGATTTCTGTAAGGGCAAGATTGGTCTGGAGGCAGGCATCCCATATCCAAGTGTCTAGGCTTGAGTCCTGCCTCCACTTCCCATACAGATGCTTGCCAGTATATCCCCTGGAAGGCAGCAGATGATAGCTCAGGTACTTGGGTCCCTGCCATTCACATGGGAGACCTGGGTAGTGTTTCTGGCTTTAGCCTGGACCAGCTCCAACTGTTAGGGCATTTGAAACAACTGAAATTGTTGAAAGAGATTTTGTCTGTCTGTCTGTCTGTCTGTTTCTCATTCTGGCTTTCAAATAAATAAAAATAAATATTGGTCTGAATGTTTATCTTTTTATCTCTAATGTCTAATGTTAATACAGTACATCTTATATGGTTGTCTGTTATTATGAATGAATGGCACAGAATCAGGCTTCTGTCAGACACAAGTAAAATGTTTACATGGCATAGATTGGAAGGTATGGATTTCGGAGTCATAGTGTCCTGGAATAGAGACTTAACTCTCAATTTAATAAGAACTTTGTGAAATGACCTTGGGTAAATTGCTTTACTACTCCAAGCCTCATTTCCTTTAGTTATAAAATGGAAATGATAATAACACCAATTTTGTAAGATTGTTATAAGCATTAAAAATAATATTCGTAATGGAAATGCTATAATTAAACTTCATTCTCATTTGTTGCAGCCTGCCGTGAAGTAGACAGAATGCTGAAGATTTTCACTTGTAATTCTCATTCAGACCTCCCAACAAACTTGGTAAGTCGATTGCAATTCCATAAAAATCAAAGAGCAACAAAAAACTTAGACTCACACCATTTATTTACTCATCTGATGTTACACAGTGTGTCACTATTGGTTATGCCAAGTTGCAGTAATTAAAGCAATCCTGAGATTTCAGTGGATTAACAGATAAAAAGTTGACTTTTGACACATCCCAAGTGTGCTGTTAGTCCAGTGGTTCTCCTAGGTCCCTTCATTACAGCTTTTCTTCAGGGATCTAAGGCTGCCTTTGGCATGTGACTAGGCCATCCTGAACACATGGTTCTAGTTCACTGCAGCAGGGAATGAGCAGCCTGGGAGATTGTACTTTGACTTTCGAGTACATCAATCAACTGATGCGCACCACTTCTAACATCCTAGCACATTCATCAGAACTGGTCATGTGGTCTGCCCAATTCCAAAGAAGATGTGAAATTGGAGGGACACAGGGTTACTAAATGAATAGTAAGCATTTCTGCCATACCTGGCTGGGAGGTGAGATTCAATGTGGTCCTATGAAGGCCTCAAATGCTTCAAACCTAGGTTTGACAAATAAAATAAAGGACATTTGCTTAAATTTGAATTTCAAACAAATGGTGAATATTTTTAGTATGTCTATAGCCCGTGCAATGTTTGGGATATGCTTATATCAAAAAATAAGAGTTATTTACCTGAAATTCAAATTTTTGTTTGTTAAATCTGGCAACCTTATCCAAAGGCCATGCATTTCATATGTGACTGAAAACTGTTACTAATGTGAAATGGAGAACTATTGCCTCCACTTAGAGGTATTTAAAATCATATTTAAAATTTTCCAGCTTGTGGCAGAAGGCCTAACTCCACTTCTCCAGCTTCCTGCTAATTACACCCTGGGAGGCAGCAGATGAATGGCTAAGTAGTTAGGTCCCCACCACCCACGTGGGAGACCTGGACTGAGTTCCCTGCTCCTGGTTTCTGACATTTGAAGGGGGAAGCATCAGATAGAAGGTCTCGCTGTGTCTGTCTCTGTCCTTGTCTATCTCTTTCCATCTGTCTGCCTTTAAAAAAAATTTAAATTAAAAAAAAAATCCAGCCAAAGCAAGCACATCTGCTGATTGAACTTTGCTAGTCACTTGCCAATTCACAACTTCAGTTATACTAAATTATAGCTTGGAGAAATAAAAAAAGAATCCTAATAAAACATCTTGGATGTCCCACACTCCATCAACAACTAAGAAGGTAGTTGGTCTTCTGCAACTTACTTAGGTTGTCTAACTCTTCCCTTTCCTTACTTGTAAAAGTAGAAGACTTGATTTGAAAATCTAGAGAGTACTTTCTTCCTTGTAAAATATATCATTCTATAACTCTATTGAGTTACTTCTGTTGTACTGTGTCAGGATGTTAAGGAAACAATGTCGCAAATAATACTTCTGAACAGTCTCTCTCAGAGTAGATTCCCTAGGAGGATATACACTTATTTGGATAACAATGCTGTTTCTTAAATCATTTTTGGAAAATGTACATATTCTTTTGCATATCCTCTTCTGGTGGCAAATTACTTTTCCATGAAAGTACATTTATTTTTGGAACCAAACTGGAGCAATTCAGATTCAAGTCCAATAGATGGTCAAACTGAAAAATAAATGAAAATTTTGGGTTAAAAATGAGATAGGTTTATCAAATAAATGAAATTGATTTTTAATTTTTAATTTATTTAAGGTGAACAAATTTCATGTATTTCATATATACAGCTTTAAGAGCATAATCTTAAGCCAACAATTAAAAACAGTTAGCTTCAGGACAATTCAAAAATCAGTTCTGAAAAATAAGTATATTACCTACAACTTTGGAAGACTTACACTCAACTGGATGTGTGAGTTCTGGTTACAAAAAATTATCCTCTATCAAAAAGCTAGTGATTCATTGCTATTCATGATAAAGTATTGAAAATACAATTCCCCATGATTTATTACCCAGATGCTCTTGAAAATGACTCTTATCCCAAGACACAGTTCCTTTATGCTGAACTTTTCAACTATGTTTAGAAAAGAAATACTCAACACAGTTTTCTACCACTCAACAGTATACACACGCGCGTGCACACACACACACACACATATAACTTTTCTTATGTTATTCATGAGATCATTTTAAAAGTTCAAAAATTTACACTAAATCTTGTAAAGATTATGTGACAAATGAAGACAATGGAAAATTTTCTTAATGGGAGAGCTCATTTGTCATAATTGAAGATTAGTTACTTTACATCAAAATGCAAAGATTTAAAAAGCAAAGCATATTTCCATACAGAAACAAAATAGAAATGAGCAAATCAATCAAAACCATACAAATTCAGCGGCCTCTGTATATCTAGACCAAGTAAGAATGTTTCATTGAAACAGATATGGCAGTACTTAGATCAAGGAAGACAGCTCTGAGAGGTCTCCACCATTTTTTTCTCTCCAACCTCTACTTTTCTTTCTTCTTAAAAAAAAAAAAATTTTGTAGGGGCCAGTGCTGTGGTGTATTAAGTAAAGCCAGTGCATGCAATGTCAGCATCCCATATGGGTAATGGTTCAATTCTCAGCTGCTCCACTTCCAATCCAGCTCCCTGCTAACGCACCTGGGAAAGCAGCGGAAAATGGCCCAAGTGCTTGGGCCCCCTGCACCCATGTGGGAAAACTGGAAGAAGCTCCTGGCTCCTAGCATCGGCCTGATCCAGCCCCGGCCATTACAGCTATTTTGGGAGTGAACCAGAAGGTAGAAGATCTCTCTCTCAATCTCTCTCTCACCATGCTCTCCCCACCCTTCCACCCCCGGTGTAACTCCAACTTCCCACCACTCTCTGTAACTCTGACTTTCAAATAAATAAATAAATCTTTAAAAAAGAGGCAGCCAATGGGACTGGCGCCATGGCTCACTTGGTTAATCCTCCGCCTGCGGCGCAGGCATCCCATATGGGCGCCGGTTTTAGTCCAGGTTGCTCCTCTTCCAGTCCAGCTCTCCTGTGGCCCAGGAGGGCTGTGGAGGATGGCCCAAGCGCTTGGGCCCCTGCACCTGCATAGGAGACCAGGAAGAAGCACCTGGCTCCTGGCTTTGGATCGGTGCAACGCCAGCTGTAGCGGCCATTTGGGGAGTGAACCAACCGAAGGAAGACCTTTCTCTCTGTCTCTCTCTCTCTCTGTCTCACTGTCTGTAACTCTATCTGTCAAATTTTAAAAAATGTGATTATAAAATGGGCAAAATTCTTAACAGACATCTCTCTGAAGATGAAGTGGCCAATATGCATATAAAAAGATGCTCCACATTACTAACAGACAAATGCAAATCAAAACTGCAATAAGATATCACCTTACACTCATTTCTGTCTAGCAGGAACCAGAAAATAGCAACGCTTGATAAGGATGTGCAGAAATTATAACTTCATTGCACTGTTGATGAGAATATAAAACCATGAAGTTAGGGTGGGTGTTATAGCATAGTGGTTAAGCCCACTTGCATCCCATACCATAATGCCTGGGTTTAAATCCCAGCTGTGCTCTCCATTCCAGCTTCCTGCTAATGAAGGTCATGTCATGGCTCAAATAACTGGGTTCCTGCCACCATGTGGGTGACTCTAATTGAGTTCCTGTCTCCTGGCCTTGGCCTAGACCAGCCCTGGATGTTGCAGGCATTTGGGGAATAAACCAGTGAATACGATACCTCTCTCTCACATACACTCTCTCTCCTTCTTCAAGAAATAAAATAAATAAAAAAAATTTAATGGTGTAACCAACATATAAACGGTATAGTAGTTCCTTCAGAAAACTAAAGATGTGAGCCAGCAATCCTACTTTGGGATATGTATCCAAAAGAGTAGAAAGCTCATTCTCAAAGATACAGTTGCACATGCATGTTCACTACAACATTCTTCATAATAGCCAAGAGGTAGAAGCAACCCACTGTCCATTGACAGATGAATGGATAAGCAAAATACATACAATGGAATCATATTCACCCTTAGAAAGGAAGAAAATTCTCATACATGCTACAATATGGAAGAACCTTGAGGACATCATGTTAAGTGCAATAATCCAGTTACAAAATAAAAAAAAATACTTTGTGATTCCATTTACATGCGTTAAATGAGGTCCTTAAAGAAGTAAAATTTATAGAAACAAAAAGTAGGTGGTGGTTGCCAGGAGCTGAGGGGAGGGAGAAATAGGGAACTGTTGTCTCATGGCTATAGAGATTCACTTTTGTGGCATGAAAAGTTGTGGAGATCTATTACACAACAATTCAAATATTCTAAACATTACTGAGCTATATGTTTAAAAATGGTTTTTAAAACTTATCAAATTATATATTTTTAAATGTGTACAGATTATGTCAATTATACCTCAACAAATCATTTTTTTTTAAATCTTGATATCTATAACTTTAGTAAATGATTAAGAATACAAACACAGGGGCCAGTGCTGTGGCATAGCAAGTAAAGCCACATTCTGTAGGGCCAGCATCCCATATGGGCTCCAGTTCAAGTCCTGGCTGCCCCACTTCTGATCCAGCTCCCTGCTAGTGCACCTGGGAAAGCAGTGGAAGATGGCCCAAGTCCTTGAGACCCTGCACCCATGTGGGAGACTCAGAAGAGGCTCCTGGCTCCTAGTTCTTGGCTTCAGTCTGACCTATTCCCAGCCGTTGTGGCCTTTGAGGCAATTTGGGGAGTGAACCAGTGAATGGAAGATCGATATCTCTCTCTCTCTTTCTCTCACCTCTCTCTCTGTAACTGTGCATTTCGAAATAGAATAGATGAAGCTAAAAAAAAGAGAGAGAAAAGAAGAGAGTAGCAACCCCCGAAAAAAGGGACATAGAAAGAAAGGGAAGTTATTCTCCTTGACATGCCTGCATTCCACATCAGAGTGCCTGGGCTGGAGTCCTGGATCTGTTTCCTACTCCAGCTTCCTGCTGACATATACCTTGGGAAGCAGCAGTTGATGGTCCGAATAATTGTGTCCCTGCCACTCACATGGGAGTTCTGGATTAACTTCCCTGCTCCTGGACATCTGAGGAGTGAGCTCTCTCTCTCCTTCTCTCTCTCCCTCTCTTAGTTCTGTTCGTTGCTTTCTCCATTGACTCGTGTTAATAACATGTGAATAAGCTAATATTCATAAAGTACATTATATGGTTTTTATAATAAAAATTTTTATGTATACAAAATAAGTCAGATGCTACATCTAGCTTGAGAATTTGTCTCTCTTCGTGGTGCTAAGGAAATAATTTTTGAGCAAACACAGGCCATTTATTATATTTCAGAAGTCCTTCTAATATTGTTAGTACTATTACTGAAAAAAAAAAGAAAAATACCATTATGTGTACATGAGAAAAACAGTCTGCAACCGAAATAAAAATTATGGCTTACAATCTCTTGAAAATTTTGTAGTAACATCATTCACTTATATAAGAATCATTCCCTAACTGCATGTATATATTAGCCTGGGTAACAGAAATACAAATTAAATGAAAGGCTGTAGAAGTATTCCACAAAGATGCCTTACTGATATATCCACAATAGCAGGGAAACAGCCATGGTGGATTTGGTGCTGGTCCTGCTATTCTCCTGTACAGAATCAGTTCTGGCCTGCTCTGTCTCTTACTACTGTGATGATGGCTGAATCCAGATGCTAAATACTCAAGAGATACTCCAATACATGTGAACAACTGACCACTTCATCCCCAAAGAATATAGCATTCCAAGAGAAAAGAGGCCTCCTTCTGACACTAATGAAATTGTGAAAGTGTGTGATAAATCAGGGATCAAAATGAGAGGCTACCAGCTCTTAAAGGTGTTCTGCTCCTCACTCTGAATCTTTCATATAGTGCTTACAAATAAGAAAGCTGCGAGAGACAAACCTTAATGGCAAAACAGGCTTGAATACAAAGCGTCACAAGAGCTGTAATGTAGCTACGAAGGTTGTTCTAGAAGGGAATCAAAGAATAAATAGCTAGGAATGTAATTAAGGATAAAAGCATGTGAAATGCCTTAAGCTATTTGGGTAGGTGTATTTTGAAAGGACGAGTAGTAATATTTTGTCATTTCTTCCATTTTCTTTCTTTCTGTATTTTCCTTTCTCCCCTCCATGCCTCCCCCCTTCCTTCTTCTCTTTCTTTCTACAGAAGTTTTCACTTCTTCATATTCACAGAACAAAGACTACAAGGTTTGAAAGTATCATTTTCTTGAATCATCAACCTTCTAAAGAAATAGAAAATTTTAAAAATATGAAATAGTGAATTTTATCTACATCAAAGACTAAACAGCAGCCAAACAAACTTGGCTATAAACTAAAATTCTTTTTCCACTCAAAAAATCAAGACTATTTTAACCAAAAATATGTAAAAGATTCTTTCTAAAATGACCATTGCCCAAGTTTGCTGACAAAAATGCAAAACAATCTACTCAGTACAACAGAAATATTGAGACTATGGCTATCAGTATAAATCAAAATTCATCAAGTAACAAATTTACTTATTGTGCTAAAACATTATATAACAGCCAGCATTTTTGTTTCATTTTACTTTTTAATGAGGTATAGCTTTTGTGAAATTTATAATTGTATTTCTTGATAAATATTTACATATATATTTTATAGCCATGT